CAAGTCTTTCTGAGTCCTCACCAAAAATCACATATGCACCCTTATTTCTACTCATGAACAAATTCAAATACTCCCATGTTAACCTTTTCGCCCTTTCCTACTGAGGAGCATAAACATTTATCATAAAGCAGTTAAACTTATGAAAAACCCATTCCCCTTCAACAATTAAGACATTCTCAGTCGCTGTAACCTTTCTTTTTTGAAAAACCGCAGGATCCCAAATTGACAATATTCCACCTGATAACCCACGAGCATTACTAGTAGCAAAATCATACGAGAAATTTCCCCATAGACTTTTAAGAACAAAAAGATCACCTTTAGATAAACGAGTTTCCTGCACACCTAAAAAAGAAACACCCAAACTACTACATAAATTCGAGATATTTCGCCTTTTCCCTCTATTAATGATGCTACAGGCATTAATTGATAACAAATTCATTTATCAACTAACAACACACCCATCTCCTTAATAATAGATTCCATGTGATCACTGCATCCATTCATACCAAAACCTAATCGTGTACCGACATCAATAAACGAGATATAGCCGATTTTACAGCCTCTGCATTGTACTCCTTCTGATTTTTAGGAATTTTTCGAGCCCCACTTCCTTTTTTTGTACCCGAATTCGCTGAAAAAGAAGTCGTATCCTTATTAATTTGAGGAGAATTGAGACCTTTTACCCCTTTATCTAGGTTATAATCTTCAAACCCAGGAGGTCTAGAAACACTTGAAGTAATGTCCACAGTATTAGTTCCATGAAAAAATTTCCATTTTCTATTTCATCCCCTCATCTTTGTAGTTTCATTTTTTTCAGCACCTTTGGTTTCAGATGACACCTCCTCTACAATACCTTTTTCTCTTTCTTCCGCTTTATAAAGATTTTTATCTACCAAGTTCTCGAGGTCCACCCCTTCCTCTTGTTCACCCTCAAAAGGTTGACTTTCAAAAGAATGAATATTATCACCTTTGCCTTCTTCCACACCAACATCATTCTCAGATTCCAACTCATATTGAGAATCTTCATCATTATCTTCCTCTTCTTGAGTATCACCCACCAATATAGTTGGAGACCAATCAGAAACTTCATCAATTGTGACCATGAACATCATACCTTCAATATCTACGTTTACTTTTCCTGATATTTTTTTTCATATTGGTTGTTTTTAAACAAACTCTCCCCACCCCAGCAGGAGCATCTTCATCATCATCAATGAAAATTGGATCTCCCCATCTTGCTGCCACCTTTTTAAATGTAGGTGGTGTCCAAGCACATAAAGGGAGACCTTTCACCTCTACCCAAATAACCCTGCTATCTAAAGTTAAACTTTTTTGGAGCGGTTTCAATTCAGAAAAAACTGAATTCATAGAAGTACTCTGTTTGAACTTAATGCATGTATTGCGTTTTTTAAACTCAATCCACACCCAATCTCCCCCAATATAAGCTATATTCAAACCATTAAATCCTTCTTTATAGCAAATCTATAAAGATTTTCGATGGACTTAACATCACGTACCTTCCCTAGCACAATTGTTAACGCATCTGGAATAACTAGCATATTTGTCATTCCCAGCTTGATTCCTTCTATAGATTGCTGCATATTTTGATTGGCTTCTTTCAATTTAACTTTCACCTGATCTTGCTTATTATCAACAACTTCAGCATAAGACTTAACCTGGCCTTCATTCCTTCTGATTTGCTCCTTTCTATTTTCCATTCTATTACCTTCTGCTGAATAATGAATTTCCTCCTTTCTACCTCCTTCCTTCCTACTAAATCTTGCCCAGGAAGCAAAGCCATGGTGATTTCCTATCCAAATTCGGTTTAAATCTTCAACAACATGTGCATGATCCTTTGATTTCAAGAATATAACAAATGCAAATCTTCTTCCCGTTTTTGAAACTTTCCTGGCAATATACACATCAGTTACAGTCCCATGTCTTTCACATAACCTCCATAAATATTTAGTTGTCAAAGAATCTGGGAAGTTAGTCACGTATACATCCACCGAAACAACGAATACCCACCCATTAATCCAACTTTTTAATATTAATAAATTTTCATAATTTTTATGTATGTCCAAAGAAATATTTCTACAAAAAGATTAAATGTCTATTTAAACACGATATACTGAATACTCAAAATTCATTATTATATATATATTAAAGTTGTGAAGAAAAAGAACAGTAAACTGTCCATTTATTTGGCAGAATTGGTCCCTTAAGTTACATTCCCGGTCCCTGTATTTTTGTATATATTACAATTGTTGTCCCTTAGCTACAGTACCTAACCAGGGTGCTAACCACGGTACTCTTACTCGGTTAACTTCGTCAACCATGGTAACCGCCACGTCTTATCTCTCGATCCTTCCTCATTCCACTATCCCAGAAACCCACCGCCTCATAACCCCGCTGAGGTTTTCCTCTTCTTACACCTGATCGGATCGTCGGTGGTGGCTTTCTATATCCCTTTTGCGGCTTCCTCCACCGGGGTTAATCCACCGACGCAACACCCATTATGATTCGGTGCCAACATTCAAATCACATTTGGAATCGGAATCGAAAGGGGAAAACCCGTCACAGCCTCCGCTCCTTTCCTCCGATTATTCGATTCCACCACCTTCATTGCTCCTTCATACTAAACCATACCCCTCCTATTTCACTCTTTTGCTTCCTTCGATCAATGGAAAGCAGGTCGTAGGGAAGGCACCTTCTGGCCACCACCATAGATATCGAGCATGGAAGGCAGCGAAAGGCAATCGACTAAGGTATGCGACCAATTTATGTTTCTTATTTCATCATATATCTTCGGTTTTCCCCTTTCATTCACATATGCCATCGAATCTTCTCACGTCTACAGGTTACAGGTGGAACTATGGGGAACTGTGAAGAAACATAGGACTGTAACGCTGCTAATACCCCTCTCTGAATATTTTCAAATATACAGGTTACACCAAATGAACAAAAAGGTATGACTATATCAGATGAGTCCTATCAGAATAAGGGATGTACCATCTTCTTCATCCGTCATTACTTGATTTCACATATTCTCCCTATTTATGTTTTTTTCCCTTTAATTGATGCCCTTACTTATGTCGATCCTGTTTACAAATATGTTGCAGTTTCATATGAAATTAGTTATGACTTAAGTTTAGTTAATCTGATACTTTTTTCTTGGATCATGACAGGGGGATTTCTTAAACAGATTACACATTGCATATGATAGTTGAATTCCAGAACATCAGGTACACATGAATTTCAACTACCGAAGATTTAGTCCAAAAAATGAAGTGATGATCTCATTTCTTTCTGTTAAATTGTTGGCATAGGAAGCATTGAGGGAATTATGGAAAGCTGCATTTCAGGGGCAGTGGGTTCACTATAGTACAATATATATTATATATTTAGGTTGACAAATCATCAATCTTTCTGCTCAATTTGGGGTAGACATTTACGGTTACAATTTTTTATACTTTATAAATCCGCAAATCATTTGAAATTTAAGCATACGGTTTTTGGTGGAGTTGATCTCTGGTTAGTGTTTAACACCTATTCCTGCTCTTTATTACGAATTTTACACCTAATTACAAGAAATATTACTGACTGGGTCGAAGTTTGTAAACCAGTGCAAATATACCAATGTTGGTGCTAGATTAATTCCATTAACAAATCATAAGATGAATTTGATGACTTGGATAAAGAATATGATCTCCCTTTTAGCAATCAAATGCAGCGGTTGTCTAAAGTTATAATTTCGCACCCCAGGTGATGGAATGTCACGGAGAAAAAGGCAAATTCCTTCGAACCAAATTTAAAAAGCCTCAACAAATGTTGAAATCGGTCAGCTGATGCCGAAGCGGTTATGTGTGTGGATAATTTGGTCTTTTAAAATTGAATTTATAATTTTTAGAGCTTCATATATTGATTTCGATAACTTTCATTGCGTATTGGTATTGGATTATGTTTGGGTATTTCTTTACTAACCAGCTATGTTTATCCAGCGTATGCAAATTTCGTATGAGAAATTAAAGGGGAAGGAGAAAACCAGGAGAAGCTCAGAGAAGAACAAATGTTGATTTAATTACCACACTGCTGACTTTTTTTGCGGTGTTTATACCTTTTCACTTGATTTTTTATTAAAACAGGGGAACAATAGACGCATTAAAGAAGCAGCTATATGGTTCAACATCTTTTTTTTATTCTTTTCTTTGACTAGAATACAGGTAATTCATTATTTTTCCGATTTGTATTATTGTAGGGTTAATTACGCATATCAGTTATCCAAAGTGTTCCTAATGTTCCTCTCATAATCACCAACATGTGATTTCAGATATTATAAAGTAAAATCTAATTTGAAAAAAAAAATAGATTTTTATTTATATGAATCATTTACAGCCTGTTATATTTTTATTGTAATGTGCGGAAAGTGGGGAACCATTAAATTGTAATTTCTGTAAATCGGGTGGATACTGTTCATAAACGACCCTGGATTTGATTTCAATCCTGGTGCACTGCTGCAAGAAACGTATATGTCATATAATTTTGAATTGGAATTATAGATTCCATTCCATGGTTGCCGAAGTGATAGAATTCAATTTTGTTCTTCCTTTTATTGATGGAAAGACCAAAATGCCCTTCTGAAAACACTCTGCTAACGAAATTATTTGTTTCAGGTATCTTTCTTATCGAAAGCCGAAAAGGTTCTAGAAGGAACAATACAATAGAAACATAAAGGAGATGTAATATATTTTGTGCCCACGTAGAAATGGATGTGGAACTTGCAGGAAGTGACCATATTTTAACCTTTTGGTCCATGTGTGACATGTTAAATGTTGGACATTGTAGGTAACATTCAACTTTCATAAATGAATTATTTCAAGCATTTTATGATTGAAAAATACATAAAATACCCCTCAATAAATGCTTGCAGTACGCCCTTTCAGAAGGATGTATGCATTGCCATCATACGTGGATACCCATATCTTCCATTTGTCTTCGCTTCACAGCTGTATCATGGCCACCCCTTTATTTCTTGAATTCATGATGCTTTACAGGTAAATAAAAAAATAATAGTAAACTATAAACAAAATGAATTCAAGTATGTTTCTTTTTTATACTAATTTTGTCAAATTTTACAACAAGATGTTTGTTGATTCTCTTGACAGTTAGGACAGGAATTCAACTAAAAAAACTAAGACTCTTAGGATTTTCCTTGAGTGAAGTGTTTGGAATATGTTATTAACTAAGTTTGGAATAGCTTAAATACTTATTGGATGAATAAGATTCAAGCATATCCATAGTGAATCTCATAACTATTTTTTAGTAGCGGTTGCTTTACTTGCTTACCAAATGACGACATATTTATGGGCATCATACTTTTTTTACTTAAATAAACACTTTTGAGTGTTTAGATTAAATAGAATAGAAAGGGTTTATTTTCTTAAATAAACAGTTTTTTTTTTATTTTTTGATTAAAACATATCATTTTCAATTTTTTTTTTCAATCTATAGAAATCTACTTTCATGTTAATGTTTATTATACCATTTTACTTATTTTTTTTTGTTTTCAATTAATATTCAATACCTTGAGGTAGATTCTAATTGTGGTCAACAAACACGTTTCATTTAGCTTTAATTTAAAAAAATTGCAATTAGGGAAAATGGTCCCAAAAGTTTTGTTTTGTTTTGTCTTTTTAAATAACATATTCTTGATGAATAAGGGTAGATATTGTAACCTTTTTAATATGCACAATTGCATCCAAAAAAAATGTCAATACGATAATAATAGATTTTCTTCAGGTGGCTTTATTCAAGTTATGAGGAATGAGATTTCGACTCGAAATGTTTTTACTATCAGCCAAAAGCGTTAAATGCAAAAAATAGCAACACACACTAATTTATTTGTTTACTTTCATTTCTTACATTAGGACACTATACTATATTCAATCTATCCGGTTGCTAAGTATTTGTATGACATTATAGCATCCTACTTTCGTGACCTGCCAAACATCAACAAAAAAATCCGAGCCGTGCAACGCACGGGCCTCATTTCTAGTTATAGTAAAGATTACATTTTACTTAGACATCCATTTGCATATTTTTCCTGCTATATATATATATATATATATATATATATATATACATACACACTAGGTATGTTTTAATGGCCCGTGCTTAGCACGGCCCATGGAGGGTAATATGGGTATTTTATTTACCATTGTCTATATCTTTGAAGAGAAGTACTTTGTTATTATACGTGAAGTATTTTAAGCGCGGCCCACGGACGGTAATATGAGTATTTCCTTTACCATTGTCTATATCTTTGAAGGTGTCTAGCTGTTGGAGCTTCCACAGTCATCGTGTGATTGGTTAATGCCACCGTCCACCGATGGAATCCATTGGACATCAAAAGAATATAACGACTGCAATGGGGTAAAACATTAAAAAAGAACTGTCAAAAAAATAAGATGCATGCAAATGGCGATTATTTGGTTATGATAAATTTGGAAAAAGGACAAAACATTAAAAAAAAAAAAATTAGATGAGTCTGGAAAAAAAATGTGAAAACGTAAAATGATAGTTTATATTGTATTCATTAACAATTTTATTGGCAATTACCGTGGGACTCTAGTCTTTAGCAAGCTCACTATATACAATGTGGGGTTTGTTTTGTAGAAGAGAAAAATAAGAGAAGAAAGTTAGCAAGGGTCATAGTGAAATATAATGTGTAAAAGATAAAGCATGAGATGATTTAACTCACAGATGAAAATATTATATAGGACATAAAAGATGTAATTCTATTGTTCATAATAAAAGTTATCTAAAAATGATTATTGACATATACAAGCACAAAATCAAATTACTAACTTATAATCTTCTTATATCTTCATAATGTAGTAGCTATGATTCAATAACCATGTAATCTGGTATCATTGGTAAAAAGGTACATTGCTCTTATAGATGAAAAAAATTGGTAAGAAAATAAAATTGCGTTATTAAAGTATAATCTAAAAAAAGCATAGCTCATGACCAAAATCACCAATATAGAAAAATAAATAAAATATTAAATACTACTGGTGGAAGTTGATCTCGTCTAAATGAATGACTTTTCCTTCTGTTGTCCATTCTTATACCTCCAAAATACCCTATCATTGGCTTGTCTGTTATGCATAGCAACAATCCATGAATTCTAAATTAGCATTCTACTCAAACAACATATTAAACAAAATATTGAGAAACATATTATTGTTCCATTTTCTAAAAAAAAAATTATTTAAAAAGTATTTTAAGAACCAAATTTAAAAAAAATACAAATATTTCAAATATGCCAACCGGAAAGAAAACATTGAATGGCCACCTTGTCACAGAAATGAAACATATTGGAGTTGGGGTTGTGAGATTGCACAATTCACATTCAAATGTGAGATTTTCTCATTTGTGATCAAGAAAACAAAGTAATCCAGGTCATGATTCTTTTCAAAGAATTAAAACAATCATAGTTTTTGCTCATAAAACCCTAAGACCATATATGTAAAACAATGTATAGTTGAAAGAAAATATATTATTTAATATACTAATATGAAACTACCTGGTGTAATTTTATTTTAATTTTAATGATTAATGGTAGCAACAGATAACATACTTCAAAACCAAAATCAAGAATACAATAATAACTTGCCTCACCGGCTTCATATTTGTCTATGTGCATACACGACAATGGTTTGAGACTTTTATCAAACATTTGGTGTGCAACTGCTTATTGGATACATACTCCTTATCAATTTCATTATCTAGAAAGTGGAACAAGTTCTCTTCTATTTGTTCATCAACAACCAGATTGTGCAACCATCCTATCTGTAAATAGAAATAATCAGCAGATTACAACTACCAAATAATTTTAACAGACAGTAAATGCAAATCATTGATTACAATCAAATCAAGTAGGGGGAATCCTTCACAGGTGACGCAGAACAGACCTAGGTTGAACATCATCAATTCTAATTGAAAATAAATAAGAAAACCATCAAAGCCCAAATAACCTTTTACAGAAAACGAAACAAAATTTGAACATACGTCATGATAGCGGTTTTCCCACAACCTGAAGAAGAAAGACATAATCTGCCTAAAACATATATACATACAATAAAAATCTTTACCACCGTAATAATCCGAGAACTTTCTAGGAGAGAGCCACTTTCACTATAAACTGGAAATCTTAAATAATTTCTGAAGAGAAGACAGCGGGCGATGAAAGAAGATAGAAAGAGAGAAGAGCGGATAGAAAACTGAATCGCGAACATACAAATTAAAACCCTATATGGTAATAATCTAAAAATCAAATGGATTTCTCGAATTAGGGTAAAATTTGTGTGATTTCTTGAACAGTGGAAGCGACAATTGCCAAGATTAGAACAAAAAAATTAGAAAACACATACTTGAAAAAACAGCGTCCCAAAACGGGTGTGTTGTTCCAGTTTGATGGGCGTTTGAGTTATGTGTCATGTTTGATAACGTTAAAGGCGTTGTATACGAAACCAGAGAAGAATGGTTTATATAAAAGGAGGAGAGTTGAAGGAGAAACGATAAGACGTAGTGGTAAGTTGCGTCGTTCTAAGGCAACACCAGAATAAAAGGTGACACTTGACGATTATGAAGCAGTGTGGAATACGGTTCAATTCCTTGGTCTTCAACTTGACACCAAATGTTCTTTCTTTAAACCCATCACATGTGCAATACCAATACCGCGGAACGACACAAATTGTTATGAGGCGATGTTGAAATCAATGGCGTCGTTTAAAAGGGTGGCTACGTGGCGTCAAATTAAGCGGATGAAATTGAGTATTGAGGAATTAGAAAAATAAGGTTTTTATATATAGTAATGATATATATATATATATATAAATTCAATAGAGAACCATTATTAATCAATGAGCCAAAGAACCTATCTAAAGTGTTGAATTTTAAAGCGATTGACGGCCAAAGGAAGACACACATGCGCCAAATTATACCAAACTCGCTACCTTTTTTTTAGATTTATTTTTAGGCAATGTTTTTTGTCGAAGAAAAAACCCGAATATACCATTGTTAATGATTTTTCATTCTTTTTCAAATGACAAAACAGCACAAATGGTCCCTGTGGTTTGTCAAAAATTGTCACTTTGGTCCAAAAAGGTTTTGACTAGCACCAGATGTCCAAACTTTTCATTTTTTTGCGAGTTTGGTCCAATTTACTATTAACTTTTTCATAATGACGATTTTGCTATTACTTTTTTCTTTTTCATTTTTTATTATTTAAAGATTTTTTCAGATTAAAAAAAAAGAAAAAAGAAAAAAGAAAATTTTCCTTTTCTATTTAATTTATATAATTTTTATAACAGAACAAATAAAAAATAAAAAAGAAAATCTCTCTCTCTCTCTCTCTCTCTCTCTCTCTCTCTCTCTCTCTCTCTCTCTCTCTCTCTCTCTCTCTCGGGTGAAACCTGCCATCGGAGATGGAGTCTCCAGTCACCAAAGAGGAGGCAATTTCCCTTCACTGTCGATTAGCAAACCCCAAACCCCTCTTTCGATTTATATGATCCCCTTTGATCTCTACAACCCCGTAAATGACCAAAGCGGAGATGAAGGCCACCGAAAAAGGCACAACCCTCATCCTCTTTATTTTTCCTTTCTTTCTGCTCATCGATACCTGCCAAACACCCAACGATCGACTGCTGATACGGCTTGATCCTTCTGATTTGTTATTCGTCGTCGATGAGGAGTAAAACCACAAAGGAATTCATCGGAGACCGGTTGTCCATTCTCCATCTGATTGCTAGGCGGAGACGAGTGATAGCTAATCCAGATCTTGAATAAAAGCCCTAATCGACAACTTAAATAAGGTCCTCCATTCTCCATCTTTATCTTCTTCTTCTTTGCAAATCCACCATGACACTGCATTGCTTCAGTATGTAAATCAAGAATCGAAAGAATCTGGAGAAAGGGTTTCTAGGGTTACCGATTGCCAAGAAGATGACAACAAAGACGATCAATTGAAAGTTCGAATAGAAAGGGATAATCAACAGTTGTCGTTATTGGCACTTTTGTTTACCCTATTAAGGAAAACTTTCTGGGTTGCTGCTTCTTGCAAGACCACGACTACAGAATAGAAGAAGGATCTTTCTGCTATGGAGATTGGATGGCCCACTAATGCGCGCCATGTAGCGCATGTTACCTTCGATCGGTTCAATGGGTTCTTGGGTCTTCCTATTGAGATTGAAAGACGAACACCCTTTCATCCTTTTCTCCCATCTATTGTAATCGAAGACCTGAGTTTACATCCTTTTAGTATGCTTAAACCGAAGTCCAATTTTGAGAAGTTCATTCAAAACGTTGATTATCTTCAGAAATCAACAGCCTTTCATTCATCCATTCATACAAGATTTGGAGAGAGAGAGATGTATTTTTTCTATTATAAAAAATTATAAAAATAAAATAGAAAAGAGAAATTTTTTTATTAATTTTCTTTTAATTAGAAAAGTATTTAAATAAACAAAAAATATTTGAAAAAGAAAAAAGTAAGGGTAAAATCGTCAATATAAAAAAGTTCAAAGCAAATTGGACCAAACTCGCAACAAAATGAAAACTTTGGACATTTGGTACTAGTCCAAACTTTTTTGGACCAAAGTGACAATTTTGAGCAAACCACAGGGACCATCTGTGCAATTTTGTCTTTTCAAATAGATATCCATATTGATATATGAAAAATAACTTTTTTTTCTTCAAAAAAACCCACTGCATTTTCTCTGTCATATGAAAAACTAATATTTATTTTTTATCAAACAAAATTAATATATATCAAAATTCATATTTTTTGATACTTTTTAAATATATATTCATATTGATATTAAAAAATCAAAATTTTGAAAACTGAATTATTTTCAGTTAAAATTCAGAGTGTGAATAATTTTAAGTCAAATTCACATTGTGAATCCTCATAACTGAATTATATACAGTTGAGATTCTCAGTGTAAATAAATTCACTTGTGAATTTTACAAAATTAATGTAGAAAAAACTCACTTTGTTTTGTTGTTTTTTAATATTGAGGTTTTTTTTATCAAAAAGTAAAATAAATAAATTAATAGTCATAATTTTTTGTACTCTTGAAATAGATATTCATATTGAAGTATAAAAAAAATAATTTTTTTTTCGAAATCAGCTGAGATTCACATTGTGAATCTATTGAAAATTGAATTATTTTTCAGTTAAGATTCATAGTGTGAATGTAAATCATCAGAGAGATGAAATAGTAAGTCGGATTCACATTAAGAATGTTAAAACTGAAATATTTATCATTCGGATTCATAGTGTGAATTTGAACAGATCAAGATGATTTTTTTTTACCGATGTTGATGTCTATTTATAGAGTACAAATATTCAAAAATTTTGGTATATTTAGTTTTTTTTTTTGATAAAAAATAAACCTAGATTGAAAAAAAAACAACAAAACAAAGTGAGTTTTTTTTTTGATTTTTTTTTTGATTTTTTTTATATTAATATGGATATCAATGGAAAGATGACGAAAAAACAATGGTATATTCACGTTTTTTTCGATAAAAAACATGACCTAAAAAAATTGAACTACAAAAAAAGACATAAGTTTTGGTATAATCTGTCATGTGTGTCTAATGTAAGAATCTACAACCATTTCCTTAGTCGTTGGTCATTATATATATATATATATATATATATATATATATATATATATATATATTGTCGTCCGAATTTTATAATTTCATCCGAATTTTAAAATGTTGTTCGAGTTTTATACGGTTATCAAAATTTATACTAATAATAATAATAATAACAATAATATAATAATAATAATAACAATAATAAAATTAAAACTTAAAAAAATTAAAAACAACAAAAAAAACAAAATAAGAAAAAAAAACAACAAAAAACAAAAAAGTCACATTCGGGGCGAAATTTAAAAAGAAATATTTGAAATTTTGAATGGTATTTTATTTGACATTAATCAGTACTTTTTCATTTCATTAAAATACTTCAATTTTATATAAACTTAGTTATAGGCTATTTGAAATTTTGAATGGTATTTTATTTTTATTATAAACAGAAAAAATATATTAAAATTTTAAAAAAAAGAGAACTATCTTTGGCTTAAAATCGTTGGATTTCCAAATTTTGGGTGGGTGTCTTGACTGTCTTCTTGCATATTTGCTCGAATTCTCGAAAGACGGCAGGTTTGCAACAAAAAAGTAAAATACGATGTTATCAGTGAAAGAATACAAGGGCATCAATCATCATCAGCTGCTATGGCTATGGCCTTTTGACTTGGTGAGAGTTTTAATCAATCCTTTGGCGATCTTCCGAAACCAAATCAAATTCATCACCGCCAACGCCGGCGGAATCGTCAGCAAGCTGTAATACCCCATCGGATAAACTTGCTTCACCTGAAACCAACACATAACAAAAAGGGCGGTCAACGGTGGTTCCGACTTCCGACTATCAAAAATCCATGAGGTTCAAGCAATTTTACCTGATCAAAATGTGTAAACATGTGGTAGAAAAAGTAGACGAACAAGATGACTCTTGCAACCTGCATAAATTAAATAGATTTATCCCATTAACCGATGTTTGTGTTTTTTTGTCAACTAACCCTAATTTTCGAGGGGCGCGATAGACTTACCAACCACCCTGCAAACATTGCGACGCCATTCAACACGTAAAGCGTCGAGTTCTTCTTACCAGCGACATCCAGATACCTGCATTTGCATATGCATATCTTTCTTATGATCGATTTCTGGACTTTGAATGCGAAAATATAGATGGAGCTTTGAAGCGTTACCATCTTAGGTTGACAAAGGGTGTGGTGATCTCCGTGAAAAGAACGATTAGGATGTAGAACTGAACTTGGCCGCTTAAAAGGGCTTGACCCATGGCCAACATAGAGAGCCCATGGTGCAATATCTGCGACAACATGAATGATGAAATCAAAACAAAATGTCTTGAATATCATTTTAAAAGTATTTCTTATAATTTAGAAAACAATTTAATAATAAAATTACATGTAAAGTATCAATTTGGTCTCTTCCGGGTTTAATACAAGGGTAGAATGGTCATTTCCAGGTTTAATACAATACAAGGGTAGAATGGTTATTTCCGGGTTTAACACAATGGTAAAATGATTATTTTAACTATGAAAGAGTCAAATTTAACCATCCAACAACAATATGAATTCATAGCGGCAAATTTGCAAAAAAAAAAAAAAAAAAAAAAAAAAAAAATAGAAACTTGCAAAAAATTGTATAGTATATGGACCAAATTTATAATTTACTCTTTGCATTAATTTCAAAGGCAAAATTCAATTCAAGGGCATAATGATTATTTAACGGTCGTCATATTAGACCGAATTTAATGTGAATGGCACCAATTTAATAGTTACTTGGCCCACTTTGATCACTTTATAGTTGGGTAGAGGAGCCCCTAAAACATATAATAAATGAGTAACAAACTATTTGTTTTTTTACAAAACGTCATTGACCATTGTTCTACAAAAAGTACCTTAAATGGTTAACAAACTATTTCAAGTTCAA